TCTTTCCTCTTTCTCTTTCTTTCTTTTCTTTCTTTCTCTCTCTTTCCTTTCTTTCTTTCAAGATATTTGTTTTATTTATTTATTTGTTTGAGAGCGAGAAAGAGCACGGGAGCAGGGGGAGAGTGACAGAGGTGGAAAGAATCCCAAGTAGACTCCCTGCAGAGCATGGAGCCTGATGAGGGGCTCGATCCCACACCACCAAGAACACAACCTAAGTGGAAACCAAGAGTCAGACGCTCAACTGACTGAGCCAGGCGCCCCTCGTCTGCATTTTCTTTCTTTCTTGTTTGAGCCAAGCCTTGGGATAGTATTGAAAATAAAAGGGGCCAATGGTAACTGTTTTATAGTCACGGGATATAGGCACGGGGCAGCCGTGAAATGCACGCCTTAGGCCTTGGGGAACATAGTTAATTGCTTCTCGGCCCTAGTAGATTAGTAGCTGCTCTTTATATCTGCTATTCCCATATTTTTTTCTTAAGTAAGCACTATGCCCAACGTGGGGCTTGAACTCAGCACTCTGAGTTCAAGAGTTGCATGCTCTATTGACTGAGCCAGCCAGGCACCCCGATTCCATTATTCTTTACAAAATTCTCCTTACTTCCTATTAGCCAATCTCTCATTGCTCCCTCCCCCTGTGATAGCTCATAGTGACAGATACTGATTCCAGGCAAGAGTTTACCATTCCTGCTCGCAGGGACTCAGGTACCGCCACACTCCAGCATACAAAGCCTGATCCATAGGCACAGAATCCCACACAACAGCATCCAATCAGGTGACCCACTTCCCAGGAAAAGGTGTGAGAATGGGTCCCTGACCGTGAAACCATCGATGGTTGCACACACAGTGCTTCTAGAAGGAGCCAGCCCCACAGAGGACTAGAACAACTAGTGCACGCCTGAAGGGCCAGCAACCTTCTGAGAGGATGCAGTACCATCTGTCAGGACGCATTTCCCCCAAGGCTTTGGAAACATTTCTGGGAACCAATGAGTGGAAGAGGGAGTGGTCCTACTTACTATCACTTCCAAAGCTCCACCGCGGGACTTGGTGCTTCGATCCATTTCTGGATTCTGCAGCATTGGAAGTCCTGGTCCCAAAGGAGGCAACTCTTGCTGGGGGACCCAGGAAAGTCCCACTGAACTACAAACTATGGCCGAGTCTGGGGCCCATTGGCACTCAGGCACGAGCTGATGAAACAAGGAGTCTCCCTAGCCAGCAGGAGGAGCAGAGCTAATTTTAGACAATGAGGACCTGAACTAACACAAGCCATGGACGAAAAGAGCAGTGTGTGGGTGGCGGAGAGGTAACGTCCACAAGGGCCATTTGTATCAACAAATTCTTTTAACATGATTAATAATTAGAGTTGTTTTTTCCTCTAGATGTCTTTTTCTTCTTGTTCCATGCCTTTAGCACCATAGTCTTACCTTTTATGGCACTTAGAGCACTCAGGGAGGATTAAATTTGTATGTGACTTGATTAAGGTTTTTCTTTCTTTTTTTTTTTTGTTATTTATTTTTTATTATGTTCAGTTACCACTGTATAGTACAGAATTAGTCCTTGATGCCATGCTCAGTGATTCATCAGTTAAGTATAACACCCAGTGCTCTCTCTCTCTTGCTCTTGTAAGCTCTGTGGGGACAAAGTCCATGTGTTTTTCCCCAGTATTGCACACCCAATTCCTACCATAATGCTGAGTACATAGGGGCTCAGAATTATTGAGTGATTAAACTTATTCAGGAATATTTAGTCTACAGCAAAATTTACTAAGTGTAGTAGCAAGAGAACATTATTGACAGGACACTATCACGAAATGTATAGAAGTCCTCGGGAGTAGACTTGTGATTCTAGAATTACAGATGACAGTCAGCTGTCCAATAATTGGTCTAACAAGAAGATCTAACAAGGAGTGGTAGCTAAGTCTCATGCTATGTGGGGTGGCCTCCACTCTTTAAGTAGAAACAAACACGTGACAACACTGTGGAGATTTATGGGGTTGTTTGCGGTCATTGGCATGAGGTAATTTGAAAAGCAAGCCCTGACTCTTCCATCTTCCTCACCAACCTATGTTAGGGTTAGCCTGCTCTCTAACGTGGCTTGTAATTCTTAGCAACTATGATATTACCATGTCCAGAAGGTCATTTTAAAGTGTTGTCTAGAAGGAAAAGATTTCTGATCTTTCCACATGAATAGCATGGACACAAAATATACAGCTGTGTGTGTCCTCTCAGGGGTGACTCTGCACTTGGGCAAATCCAAGAGTGAGCTCCTCTTTTCATGCTGCTCCCCAGGCATATCATTAGCCTCATCCTGGTCCCGCACCCCTCCCCACCACTGTGGGAGCCTGATAAAATGGCAGATTCATGGGTCCCTTCCCAGAGCATGGTAAATTACATACAGCTGTTGGCAACTTAACGATGGTTTGACATGATTTTTCAACTTTACTATGGTGCGAAAGTGACAGGCTTTCAGCAGAACCTACTTCGAATTTTGAATTTATCCCGGGCTGGTGATATGCAGTACATATTCTCTAGTGATGCTGGGTAATGGCAGACAGCTATGGCTCCCAATCAGCCACACAATCAAGAGGGAAAATAACCGATACACTGACGACCATTCTGGTTTTCACCTTCAGCACAGTATTCAATAAATTACACGAGATATTCAACACTTTAGTAAAACGTAGTCTTTGTGTGAGATGATCTTGCCCAACTGTTGGCTAATGTAAGTGTTCTGGGCATGTTTAAGGGAGACTAGGCTAAGCTACTGATGTTCAATAAGTTGGGTTTATTAAATGCATTTTTTAAATTTAATTTAATTTTATTATGTTATGTTAATCACCATACATTATATCATTAGTTTTTGATGTAGTGTTCCATGATTCATTGTTTGCATATTAAATGCACTTTTGACTTAATGCTATTATCAACTAACAATGGGTTTATCAGGACATAACCCCTTTTTAAGTCAAGGAAGATCTTTACTTTGCACTGAGAATTACTGATAAAGAAAAGAAAATATCTACTTGACTTCAAGAGGGAATAAGTCAATTGAAAGAGGTTTAATTAAGACAAAAAACTGAATGTACATGATTTATAAATTTCAGAAGTCAGGATCATTGCCCAAAAAAATCAACTGAAGGCAGAATACTGGACCCTAATACATTTGCATAACTTTTAATTTAAAAATTTCGTTTTGCATTCAAAGGGAGAAACATGAAGAAAAGGGAATACTTTAGATTGGAAATCAAGACACAAATCAAGTACTACCACGAAATACTGCACATAACTTCATTTTTCTTTTGAATCAAGAGGTTTTATACAAATCTAACTTCATGAACAAAACAAATCATGCATTGATAATTACCATACAGCTTTATGGATCCAAAAGCATGATATCTACCATAAGATAGGAGTCATTATATATCTCTAGTTTTAAGAATCATCATGATGCCATAGTTTAGATTTATGGCCCACCTTTACAATTAAATATTAAAACCTTTTGGGAGATCATGATACCTCTATTATTAATTTGAAATTATTTCATTTTCCAATTATCTTGCTCAGAAATAAAAGGCATAATCATAAAGTAAGTTAAGCCCCATTCCTAAAAGAGAAATCTTTAATCACAGGCTAACCAGTGTTGTTTGGGGCTTAAACACGCATTATTTCAAGAACAGTTTTTGCATAAGCATAGTTGATAACATTAAAAAGGCAGAAAGTGATTATTCCATTCATATTATCAGCTCCTGGAAAGTACCAAAGTGCGTTCTTGAGATATTAAGGCATTTGGGGACAAATGACACCTCCAGTTTCCTTAGCTCAGAGCTTGCCTTTAGTCTTGAAAGTCTCCTTCATCTGTTTGACAACAGAAAGGTCCCCTGCCCCGTCAGGCCAGTTGTCATGATCTGGTAAGTGGAAAACCTCATGTCAGTTGCAAATCTATTAACCTCCTTCATCCTCTTAGTTTCCAACAGACCCTCTTCTTATTTTCCCTAATTCACCCCTTTTCTTTTCTCAGCAAAAAAAAGAAATCATTAGGACAACTGGCAAAGGTCTTGAGAAAATCCTCGTTTTGAATCCCAGCCCTGCCACACATACCAGCCTTTCCAAATTTGGAGAAGTTCCTCCTCCTGAGCCTGTTTTCCTCAGGGGGGTAACAACATCTGTTCTTCTAAAGTTGTGAAAATGAAATGTGATGGCCTATGTAGCGTGCTCGGCATACTGCAGCCGCTGCATACATACTATCTTAGGAACCAGGATGACTTGAAAGCCATGTGCTTACTTTGTACCGGGCACACATAACTGCCTTTCCAGCATCCAGTCCCTCATCCTCTTTCCAAGAGCCTCCACCTGCACTTGAGAATCCATGAGGTTCTGGGGAAGTGGCCCCACTTTGATCACCAACTGAGCTAAGTCAAGCAGTGCACTCCACTCCTCTGGCTCTGGTTACTGCTTGAGGACGGCCACGCGCATCAGCTCGTCCAAAACAGAGTAGGTCTCAGAATTCTGCTAGAAATGCTGTAACAACGTCATTCCCTCCCCTCTCTCTGTCCAGCTGGCTGGGGACAAAGAAGCATGGGGCTTTCGGGTGGCAGGCAGCTGTTCTGCAACCAGAAGAGTCTGTCTTAAGATAAAGCCAACACAGCAGAAGCAAAAACAGAGGGAAAAGAAAAAAAAATTGTCCCTGATGAGCTCAGTGAACAGATGATTCAAGTCTGGCTTGCTGTTCAGTTATGCGGGCCAATAAATGCCTTTCTTGCTCAGGCAAGTTTGAGCTGCAGCTAAAAGCGTCCTATGTGATACAGGGCTTTAAATGTTTGTTATCTAATTTAATGCTCCCAACTGTTTACTCAATAAATGCCATAAGTAACCCCACTTTACAGAAAAGAAAATGGAAGCATACAGAAATTAATTTTCCCAAGATCACACAGCTAGTAAGGGTCTAGCAGGGCTTCACCCCAGGCTTTGTCACTCCAGGGCTGGCAATCTTCAAGAAAACACAGGACAGAAAGGCTCAGTAAGTACTCCCACTCATTATTTGGGTGGGTGGGGGGTGTACATATTCTTTTTTTTTTTTTTTTAAGATTTTATTTACTGAGCGGCAGGCAGAGGGAGAAACAGGGTCCTCGCTGAGCAGGGAGCCAGATGCGGGACTCGATCCCAGGACCCTGGGTTCATGACCTGAGCCGAAGGCAGATGCTTAACTGACTGAGTCACCCAGGCGTTCTGGGGGCAGGGGGAGGGAGGGAGTATATTCTTTGAAAAATCGCTGTAGCTGATTTTGCCAAAAGCTTAAAAAATATCTTTACACTAATAAATACAGTGTTTGGGGTACTTGGGTGGCTCAGGTCATGATCTCAGGGTCGTGAGATGGAGCCCTGCATCTGGGTCAGCGGGGAGTCAGCTTGGGATTCTCCTTCTCCCTCTGCCTTCCCCCTGCTCTCTTTCTCTAAAATAAATAAATAAAATCTTAAAAAACAAAACAAACAGTGTTGGAATTACAAAAGAGAACTGTTTCACTGGAGGCCTGGAGAAGCAGCTGCCTGGAGTTACTTTCCCTTTCTAAAGGAGAATCGACAAATACCCTCAACACCACCGATGAGGGAAGTAGAAAGCATCCCTTCCACCTTGGCCACTTTAAATACTATCTGAAAACAGTACTGCATAACACGTCGGCATTTCTGTCTTTCTAACCAGGAGCCTTAAAACCATGGTTATCTTCTGCACATCACCACATTGATGTTATTAGTAAAGAAATTAGTAAAGAAATCTAGATGGGAGGGGGCAATAACAAATAATATTAAAGTCCCAGACTAATCATTTATTAATGCAAAGGTCTGAAGCCTTGAGCAGACTGTTAGTACACAAAACAGTAGGGTGAACCTACGTCCCTGATACGAAATTGAAATACATGTGCAGGGGCGCCTGGGTGGTGCAGTCAGTTTAGCAGCTGACTCTTGGTTTCAGCTCAGGTCTGATCTCAGGGTCGTGAGATCGAGCCCTGCGTCGGACTCCATGCTCAGTACAGAGTCTGCTTGAGATTCTCTCTCCCTGTCCCTCTGCCTGCCCCTCCTCCCGCATTCTCTCTCTCTCTCTCACTGAAATAAATAAATAAATCTTAAAGAAAAAAAGAAATACACATGCATTACATCAACCACATTTTAATTTGCTAGTAGCCACTTCACACTCTTCAGCAACAGTGAAAATACCTTTGAATTTTGTATTTGTGGGCAACATCTATATTTGGTTGAGCCTTATAAAACTACTGGTTTTGTATATTAAAAATGGTTGAATACAGCTAATTCATATGGTTTCACTCAATATACATCCCAAAGATCATGTGAAATAGTACCATAGCACCCCTCCCCACCTAACAGGTCTGAGTCTTCCGCTGAGATATACAAGCCACTTATTAGAGGAACAAAGAGGAATTAAATCTTAAAAATACAGCAACCTCTTGCCTCTTTTCTGCCTCCTCCTTTTACTATATACTCATATTAAGAATATTTTTCAAGCTTAAACTTCCACCAACCTATACACACAAGGCAATTTTTTTAATATATAAAGCTATGTGCTACGATAAAAAATATTTAGATATTTTCTTTGGGAACATTTCCTTTAAAGATCCTATCAGGAATATAAAAATTTTGTACATTTTTGATGTTCTGTGAGAGAAAACCCTAATCCTTTATGTAACTGCTTATGAAATTTTGTAAACTTGGGCACCTGGGTGGCTCAGTCGTTAAGCGTCTGCCTTCGGCTCAGGTCATGATCCCAGGGTCCTGGGATTGAGCCCCACATCGGGCTCCCTCTGCCCCTCCTCTTGTGCTCTTTCTCTCTCTTTCAAATATATAAAATCATATAAAGAATTTTTTTAAAATTTTGTAAACTTGGGCACCTGGGTGGCTCAGTCGTTAAGCGTCTGCCTTCGGCTCAGGTCATGATCCCAGGGTCCTGGGCTTGAGCCCCACATCGGGCTCCCTGCTCGGCGGGGAGTCTGCTTCCCCCTCTGCCTCTGCTGCTCCCCCTGCTTGTGCTCTTTCTCTCTCTCCCTCTCTCTCTCAAATAAAATTTTTTTTGAAGATTTTATTTATTTATTTATTTGAGAGAGGAGAATGAGAGAGAGAGAGAGCAC